CCCCAAAACCCCAAAACCCCAAAACCCCAAAATGTATGATAAAGTTTAAAATATGAGGAATTTAAAATTTAACATTTAAACATTTAGAAAAAGGCAAGATGAAATCAAAATCATTGATATTTAGTTTTTAATTGATCGCTATCTTTCATATTCTTTTCGCTTAGAGTTAACTTATTTACGATGGTTATCCTCAACAATACGTAAACGCTTGATTCTTCAATAAGACTCTAAATTCCTTCATACAGTTTCGAAATCCCTTGGATATAACAGGATAGTATTTGAAATCTTATACTTATGAATTTTTCATGAGGCTTAAGACATTCAAGCAGATTTCAGAAAATTAAATTTCACTTAGCAACTAAAGAGGTTATATTATTGATTGTGGCTCCCATTCCAATGTTCAATTTGATGAGCAAAACTTGATTTATCAGCAAGCAGGAGGGTACAAGGCATTGTACACTTTTCACAGCAATGACTTATCAGAAAATTTCTTAGATAAATGGCATTTATACACTTTTTCTTTTCAAAGCAAAATAGTTTAATAAAATGATTAGGCATACTTGAGGATATTAATTGATGGTGTCCTAATGAATGAAATTTAGATTTAGAATTAAGTAACACTTGATATGTATCCTGTTTCTAAAGATTTGTGTGTAATTGGAAATTCTTAAAAAGCAGATTCATTTTTAAGAAACAGCTTGCATGCCGATATTAGATATATCCAGTTTCTTCAGACTCACAGAATTCAAGAACATTATAATTCTTATCTCAACCGTTATCCTGATCCAAAGCATATAAATATTGTCCTGTATTATAAACTTGACGATGAGAATTATTTTAACTCTGATTATTATTAGAACTTGCAAGTGTCTGACTATAAACATTAAAACACTATATTGACTCAATATGAAGAACCTGAGAAATTATGTGAATGCTATTCAGCCCCTTTGAAAGTAATGAACATCTAAAAAGGAGTCAATAAATTTAATGGGCTTTAGCTGAGAGCTACAGATGACTTATAAAATGGATTATATTTAGATTTTTGGATCAATATTCAAAAAGATTTAGAGGACAATACTAATACACAAAGAGTAATTTTTACAGCTGATAAACTCATAAGAGTCAAGACCTTAAAGAAAAATATTGTGCTTTAAATAGGAAATAGCACTAATGATATCGTTTTAAATTAAAGCTATATTTATTACAGAAAGTGGAGCTACTT